AGCAATACGGACCTCTAAAAATGTTCTAATAGTTTGGACCTCTGAAAATTTTCTAACTAATAATTCGGACCTCTGAAGACCTTCTAATCAACAATTCGGACCTCTGAAGACCATCTAACTAATAATTTGGAACTCTGAAGAACTTCCAACTAATAATTCCGACCTCCTAACTAATAATTCAGCCAATAAGAACAAAAAAAAAAAAAATAGTAATTCGTTTAAAAACAAAATTGACATGTTTTTTTTTTGTATGACGATTTTTTATCCATTAGGAATCGAATTAGCAAATTCGGGTGAAGTCATTCCGAAAACATGTCTGAAATCCTCAAAATATATAAAATGAAGGGTTTATGGGGACCATACCTGGTCGTAGGAAGATTTACCTTCAATGGGCAGCCAAAAAATCAAATTATAGCCAAAAACACAAATCCTCAAAATACCGAAAATTGGTTGTTAATGTTATACGGGTTCTATCCCGAAACATGGGCCAATATTTATATTTTTTGTTAGAGAGACTTGATTTTGGAAGTTTTGCTATTCAATGAGAAACCAAAACAACAAACTACAGCCAATTCGGTTGGAAAACATGGCCCAAATATATTGATTGGTTCCGTTTAGGGGGGACTACACCAAAACGTGCACCTATCCCATTTTCAATACCAACCGTCCTAGACAAATATATGCAATATTTCATAGCTCTAATTGTAAATATTTTAAGCCCTATTGTGATTTCTACAGACAAACGGACATGCTACGTTGGCGTAGAATTTTGAGAATATCCGTTGTTCTGAGGTATCTGACAAATATTTCGAGGCATTGCAAACGGAATAATACATTGAATATACACTCTAGACCTACATACAACCCTTTATGCTTTAACTAATCCACGCTAATAATGAACTTTTGAAATAAAATTAAAAAAATATCAACACTTATAATGGAATTTGAAAAATATTCTTTAAGAAATCTACGCTTATTGTAGACCTTTTGAAAATATGCTATAAAAGTCCATACCCTTAACTAAATTTAGATGGAAAATTTATTTTTAAAGATATTAAACATTTTCTGGGACCATCGAAATATAGGCTTTAAAAAATCCATACACTTAACTCCCTCCACATAGTGAAATTATAAACATCACAGTTTATTCACTTCACCCTCATTATTTCGGGGTCATGTTGCGTTATTAAGTTTCACAAAACAAAACTTATAAAAAAGAAAAGGCAAAAAAATTAAAATAGTGATGATTTTTTTATTTAGTTTCCCCACACAGATGCTGTGTAAGTGGACAAACAAAAACAATTGCTATAATAAATATTAACATACTCAAAACTGGTTGCAAAGTAAATACAAGCAATATTTTTTTGTTTTTGCTTTTCATTTTATTGATATTAAATAATAGGATAGAATATTTCGTTGGACGTAAAAAGAAATTATATGTAATTAGTAGCTTGCTCATCAGAATGATTATGGTAGTTGGTTTTGTGTAGTATCCGCCCTTCCCTCAATTGAATTTTTTATTTTCATACAAAACTTATTTAAATTATATAGGGGAAAAATCTATTGCGTGATTAGTTGTATAGGACTGATTTTAATAATATCTTGAATATTGATGATTTTTCTCGGTTTAGAACGAATTTTTTTTTAAAATTAGCATCGTAGATATCTTAACAATTTTAGTGCTTAGTACTAATAATCTCTGAAGACCTAACTAATAATTCGGAACTCTGTAGACCTTCTAACGAATAATTCGGAACTCTAAAGACCTCCCAAATAGGAATACGGACCTCTGAAGACCTTCTAACTAATAATATAGAACTCTGAAGACCTTCCAACAAATAATTCGGATCTGTTGAACTTCTAACTAATAATTTGGAATTCTGGAGACCTTCCAAATAATAATACGGACCTCTGAAAACATTCTAACTAATAATTCGGACCTCTGAAGACATTCTAACTAATAATTCGGACCCATGAAGACTTTCTAATTAATAATTCGGACCTTCGAAGACTTTCTAACAAATAATTCGGACCTCGGAAGACCTTCCAACTAATAATTCGGACTGCTGAAGACATTCTAACAAATAATTCAGACCTCGAAACACTTTCCAACTAAATATTCGGACCTCTGAAAACCTTCAAACTAATAATTCGGACCTCTGAAGACCTTCAAACTAATAATTAGGACCTCTGAAAAACTTCTAACTAATAATTCGGACCTCCGAAAACCTTCTAACTAACAATTCGGACCTCTGAATACATTCACATATACGATTCGGATTAGATATCCGACTTTCTAGCTAAAGATTCAGATCTCTGAACATCTTCTTACTAATTATTTGGACATCCTCACGATTTTTTTTTTAGTTCTGAATTCTTCAACGCTAATGATTTAGATCTCTAAAGACTTTCGCACCAATGATTTGGTCCTCTTATAACCACGGAATGCTTAAGATGCCATCCACACTTCCTCCTAACTAATGATTCGGATCTCGGAAGATCATCATACTAATTATTTGGACCTCCACACTAATGATTGAAGTCTTCCATAATAATTATTCCGACCTCTAAAGACCTTTACACTAATAATTTGGACATCTAAAATTCACCTCACTAACAATTTGGACCTTTAAAGATCTTATCGCTCATTCGGATCATTGAAGATCTTTTCATCAATGATACGTACCGATAGTGACCTCTTTACTAATGATGCCATCAAATGATTTGGACCTTTCCTTCATAGCATTACCTCTGGAAATCTCCTCAAATATTTTCACAGATCTGAAGACCTACTTTCTAATGAAAAAATTTTCAGTATTTATTTGAAACTCTGAAGACCTCCTCGCAAACGAATCGGGCCTCTAAAGGTATCGTCACTAATTATTCAGATCTCAAGAGAATGACTCACTAAAATTTCGGATCTCCGAAAGTCTCCTGACTAATTCGAACCTCTAATAATTATTGGAATAATTAGGACCTCCGCGGATACTCCGAACTCTGAAAACATTCTCAGTAGTGGGTCGGACCTCTAAATGACACCTGAAGTGAGAACTACTAGGTTCGAATAGGTTATGAGAAGTCTGAACAGGTCTGAAGAGTTCCGCATAGGATATGAAGAGCTCCGCAGATGCCCGAATGAGGAACTTCATAAGGAACTGTAAATTTGGGGCAAAGGCAATAAAGAGTTCCAAACAAAATTATTTTATGAAAAGATCTAAAACTCTAAAATAGGCTGATATATGCTCGAGGTTGTGATGAACTTATTCGACTGAATAATAACAATATACAGATGGGGGATATCAAAAGTTGTATAGAGGGGCGCTACAAAGGTCGATGAAGGTAATGAGCTCATAGGATAGAACTCCTATGAGCTTCTCATTACCTACTATTAGGTCATTAGAATGTTTTTGGAGGTCCATATATGTTATGAGAAGCTCTTTAGAGATCCATATAGTTTATATGAAGATATATGGTCTATATAGGTTATGGGAAGCTCTTTAGAGGTCCATATAGGTGTAGAGAAACTCATCGGAAGTCCATACACGTTATGAGAAGATCTTGATAGGTTATAAGAAGCTCGATTGAAATCTCGTTGGAGATCCATACAGGTTATGAGAAACTTCAGTAGTGTTGGCGGGTTATTTGGGATATGAGAAACTCTATAAATGTACATGTAGGTTAAGACAAGCTCTGCGAAGGTCCATATAGGTTATGAGAAGTCCTTCGGAGGTCTATTAGGTTGTAATAAGCTTTGTTGAAGTTTATATAGATTATATAAAGATGGACTTTCCAGATTAGGTTATGAGAGAATGTTTAAATATGCTATGAGATGTTCTCTGGAGGTCTATATAGGTTAGAACAAGCTCCATGGAAGTCCATATAGGTCATGAGAAATCCTTCGGAGGTCCATTTAGGTTATGATAAGATCAATGAAGGGTTTATATAGGTTATGAGAAACTCTTCGAAGATACATATAGGTTATGAGAAACACTATGGGGGTTTCTATAGTATAGAACAAGCTCTATGGAAGTCCATATAGGTTATATGAAGTCCTTCAGAGGACCATATAGCTTATGAGAAGTTCTTTAAATGTGTATATGGTTATGCGAAGCTTAATTTTTTTTTTAATTTTTCAAGAAGATTTTAATTTATGTTTCATTCCAAATAGCCTCCAAATCATTTTCAAAATCATAAACTAAAAATGTCTTTGTTATTAGTTTAATTTATTTTGTTGGTTTTTTATGATTTAATACACTTACAAAATTATCGAATGTCTTAAAACTAATGATTTTAGTTTTGTTTTCTTTTTATTATTATTATATTATTAATATATATATTCTTTGTGATCAGGAACAAACTAAAAAGGATTGACTGAAATGTTGAGAATATAATTTGAAATTAAAAATCAATACATTTGGAAACGAAATGATTAACTGTTGTTGTAATACATGTGTTTGGGGCGGGGCAGTCATTGGCTTTCTGTTAATAATTACTTTAATATATATATTTTTTAGTCATTTTTTACAGTATCGCACTATATGGGTTAATTCATTGTAGTTGATAATAGATCAACTTTTTATACAAAATAGTGGCTTGTATGGTTTATTATGAAAATAGACAGTATTTTTGTTAAAGAAAAAAATCATGGTCGTTCTCATTTACAAAACAAACAAAAAAGTAGAAGTTATGTGTTGACTTTGTTTAATGAAGAAATTCAAATATAAATACATGTTTAGAAATAATACAAAAAAAGAAGGCAAAAAAGAAAAAAATTAAAAATACAAAATTAAATATTCCTAATGCGTTATATATTCAGTTTAAACAAAAAATAAACTGTATATAATTTCATTGACGATTCAATGGTTGTTCGATCTACCAATCAAAAAAAAGGACTTGCAGCTGGCTAGCCCAAATTCACCGAGAGACAGACTACGACTACTACTCGTACAGATGATGTTTGTGAGTGAGTTGGTTTCCCATGTGTTATATTAATTATTTGAAATTCTCCTATCAGTTTGTACTGCCGGCAGCCTGTCTCAGCAGCACATATATTTTCTCCTTGATCCATTCCTTATTGTAGGGTGCATATGTGTTGGTCGATTTCTGATACACGAGGCAACTGATGTCAGCCAATTGATCTAAGAAATCGAACAGTTGACTGATGTCGTATGTGATCGTGGGTGTATTGGGATTGATGCGTTTCAGGTGCTCTTCGTAGATGCGGCAAACACCCTCCATGCAATCGTTGACACTGTCATAGTCACTGTATGTACGGGTTTCGGGCCGTGAACCGGGTTGTACCAACAGAATGGTATGTGACATTTTTGCCGGAACTTTTGTTTAGTGCTACTGTGTGTGTTGGTTAAATAAAAACGCTGCTGGTTCGCTCGCTTGCTTAGCTCACCCCTTCTTCTTCGCACACAGAATACTTTTCTAGTATTTTCTTCTTCTGTTGCCTTTTTGTTGCCAAATGAATTACAGCAATTTCACAATTGTTTTGTTGTTTTTCTTATCTGTAAAACACACACAAAGTAATTAAATTAATTTATCTTTTCGATTTATTTAGGGTTTTCACACAATTTCAATTACATTTCTTATTAAATTAGCCCACAATCAATCTAGCTTGTTGTCAATAAAAAAATATACGGCATTTTTTGTTTACAGCATTGCCAGCTTGAAATGGCTGTCACATACACAGAGTTGTACATGTGTGGTACTCGGTGAACTCTGTGAGAGCGTAAAGAGTTGCCATAACGCATTTATTTCTAATTAGGTGTGCTTTAAACTAAATGACATCACTTGATGGATATAAAAAAATATTTGAAGCATCGTTTTAAAATACATATTTAAAATAAATATTTGAAGCAAATGATAACTGGGCCTCTCTGCATTACCGATAGAAATAAAATAAAGGTGTAATCTTCTCTTTTGGTGGTTATAATATCAAAAAGAAAAAGGCGCATGTGTTGGGCTCAAATATAGAATATGTAGAGTTGATACAATAGGGAAGTGTTGCCATATAAAAATGACTGCTTAAATAGATAAGGTTTTAGTTTAGATCAGGCGTGTTTTATGACAAATCATAATTTATTTAAATAGTATAATTAATTAAGTACAATAAATTAAATATTGAAAAACATAATGAACTGTAGTTTAAAAAGTCTTTATTATTACTATTACTATTATTATTATTTTTTTTTTTTTTTTGAAAAAAATATGAAAATGCAGTTCCCAAAGGCCTTAAATATCAATCCGAAATATTTTGAGAAATTTTCATAAACTTCAAGGTGAAAGGTCACGACAAAGTTTCGTAAATAAAAAAATAAAAATAAAAAAAATAATTTTTTAAAACAAAAAAATGTACGTAAAAATTCCTTAAAAAATTCAAACTATTTGAAAAAATATTTTTAAAAAATTTTTTTTGAACTACATTTAACAAATAAATATATAAATATATTTTTTTTTTTGAAATATTCTCTTGCAAAAAAATATTTGTTTTCTTAACAAAAATATTTTTAAAAAAAATTACGCTAGGTATTTGAAAAAAAAATAGTACTAAAAACCCCTCGCCGTGGTCTTTGAAAATATATTCTTTAACAAATGCAAGCCTTGATATTTGAAAAATATATTTTTTAAAAAATACTCGCCGTAGTCTTTGAAAAAAATATTCTTTAAAAGCCCAAGCGTTGATCTTCGCAAATATTCTTTTAATAATCCTTGCTTATAATTATAAAAAAATATTCTTTAAAAATATCCATGCATGTGTAATTATAAAAAATATATATTCTTTATTTTAATTACTCTTTTTATTACGACATTTTTTTAAATCCTCGCTTATAATTTCGATGAAAATACATTCTTTAAACCCCCTTGCCCTTACAATACAAACAAAATATTCTTTAACAGCCTGTTTTTGTAAAATTCTACAATTCTTTAAAAACTCCTTGGTTTTGAAAAATATGTCATTTATTTTTGTTTTGAATCAAGAAACATTTTTTTACATTTTACAATTTTACAAAACAGTCTGTAAGAATAAAATATGTTTATATTTTCCCTAACTACAGTAGCTCTAATTTTTTTAATTAAAATCACACAATTATATTTCTAAACATTCTTTAAAAAAAAATTGCATTTAAAACTCAGTTTTTTTTTCTTAAAAAAAAAAACATCCACTCTTCCTTTATTATGATTTTTTTATACATATGTTTGCTTGCAAATATTGTGTAGCATTTATGATCATGCATGCATAATGTGTCTGAGTGTGTGTGGTGGATAAGCATTGCAAAACACGTTTGTTATTATTATTGTTTGGTTGGTATATCTCCCCATGTGGCGCTCTTGCTCTCCCATAAACAGCTGAACATATTGGCTCTCTCTCTCCTCATCAAAAGAAATCAAACACAAATGGAGCCAGGTGAGTTGTGGTGGTGAGACTCAAACGAATGAAAACAAAACAGATGTCAGTAGTTTTCAAGCCGCAACTCTAACAACATTGACCATACACCACACAAAGAAGATAAAAGAAGTTCAAATTAATGTTTTGCAAAACTAAAAATATCAAGTGAAGAAGTGAAAATCTAAAGAAATAAATATAAAAATTAAGAAATATACCAAATTGTGATGAGAAAAAGTGTAAAAGAATAAATAATACTAATAAAAATAAGAAGTTTGTAAAGAAGAAAAAGAAGTGGCTGCCAAAGTTTTTATTTATTTTCTGCTATCTTCCATTCACATCGTCATTCTTATCGTTGACTCAAGTGCTGGCGGCTACACTGTGTGAGCAAGCAGTGTGTGTGCTTGTCTGCCTGGAAGACAGTAAATTTTGTGAGATCACTTTAAAGAATTTCCCCCCTTGCCTGCTCTCCGCATAGTGTGTCAAGTAACCGTGAAGAAAAAAAGTAGTTTCATGCCAATAAAGTCAAAATATTGGGCAATAAAAAATAAATAATAATCATAGAAAAGTGTTGATGATAACAGTTAACCGTAAGGGGGCAAATGTGTGTTCTATGATTAGAAACCAACCGTTTTGGAAGTTTATGGCAAAATTTTAAAGAAAGAAGAAGAAGAAAATTCATGTTTTTATATGATCGCCAATTCACAATTGGTCTTGAAATTTATTGATCTCAATAGCAGCAACAACAACGATAAAAAAAGAAAAGCAAAAGCTGTTTACCTCGTTGTTTGTCGTCAGTCAGGGGTGTCGTGCCGGTATTATTCGCGAACGTGTGTGATACAGCAGCAAGTTGTTATTGCAACAGGTGGTGGTCGGCGGTGATTGTGTTGTTGTGTTTTTGGTGCACGGTACGTACGGTCGGTCAGTTACGGTTCGTTTAGTTCGGTTGTCGGCCCAGCATATTGGATATTGCCCTCGTCCGTGGGTTGCATCCCCGGTTTGTTTTTGCTTTTAATTTTCGGCAAAAGTTCATTATTCTTTTTCGCGAGTGCTTAAATTTTTATTTGGCTCACAGAGTGAAAAAGGAGAGAGAGAGTGGGTGTATAAAAGAGAGCGCCCATTGTGTTATTGCAAGAAGTGTTTTGTGTGATAGGTTTGTTTACATTTCTCGCGCCAATTAACAAACAAAACAAAAAGTGCAAGTGAATTTTGGTGGCCCCAAAGGAGAATAAGAAAAAGAAAGAGGGAGAGAGAGTGAAGAGTGTAACGAGGCAGATAATGTTTGTAATTGATATTCAATTGAATAAAATCAAGTGTTTTGGTGAATGAAAGCAAAGTAAAAATAAATAAAATAAAAATTAGTGTTAAACCCTTTGGAAATTTCCCGCCAATTTTAAGTTTTTGCTATTTTTGTTTTTTTTTTTATAACTACTTAATAAAAATTGTTTGCAATCAATGAAATTTCCAATGTTTTCTTCATCATCGTCTGCATTGCATAAGCATAAAGTTAAGACCAAGGTGAGAATTAATAACACATTCATACATATAAAGGGAAATAAACCCTATTTGTTAAATAAATTAGGGAAATGAAATAAATTATTTAAACTAGATATTAGAGAGTGTTACATAAGACACTCATATGGTTACCCGAACTTTGAAAATTATTCACAAAGTGTTTCCATATATTATTTCTATACAAAAAAAATAACAAACCTTCAGATCGATATTTTTTGTTTAAGTCTAGTTTATGGCCAAAGCGGGGATCGTTTTGAAATAACGCTTTAGATTGCCTTAGTAAATTTTACAAAAAATCATGAGAAGATGCATGGGTCCCAACGGAACATGACATTCATATCTCCGGAAATACCGATTTCCGCAAGAAAAAAAGTATACAATTGTAATCAGGGCCCAAGGACTACATTTCATAAACTAGACTTGTACTAAAACTTCACAGATCTATACGTCGGAGACCCTTAGGTCGGGTTTTTTATAGAAAAGAATTCACAGACTTGTTCTAAAACTTCACAGATCTATACGTCGGAGACCCTTAGGTCGTTTTTTTATATTGAAAAGAATTCACAGATCCGTAGGTCGTGTTTTTTTCTGGATAAAAATTCACAGATCATTGGGTCGGTATTATTTTTATAGAAACAAAATTCATAGATTCTCTAGTCGATATTTTTATATGGAAAAAATTCACAATCCCTTAGGTCGGCACTTTTTTCTATTGGACAAAAGCCACTGACCCTCAGGTAAATATTTTTTCTACAGACAAAAATTCAAATATCTTCTGGCGTTACTATTTATAGAACATGTATGCTATCCTCAGATTGCTTTATTATTTTACCTTATAATCAAAATAAAAATTAAATATTTAATTTTATTTTTGTTTTCTCTTTTTTCAGATACCTTCGGATAGCTCAACACCCACATTACGTTGTATATTAAATGGACCATTTCGCGATTTACATTTTACCGCCACCGATCATCGTATAACACCGGTCCATGATGTGGTTTTCTTGGATGAAGTGGATAATCCAAGTGTAAAACCATTAATCTATAGACCGAAATTTCCGGAAGCAGAAAAAACAAATGGACACAGTAATGGATTTACACATGAAAGGTAAGGAAATCATTTTTTTTCAGAGAGAACCCTGTTATAACTTCTATTGAGGTTAGATAACGAAAATTTGGTGCCGTTTTTTGCATCCTACATAAAAAGTCAAGAAACTTATGTGACAAAATTTTAATGAAAGAAAAAAAAAATTTAAATGAAGTTTGTGGATATTTTTTTTTGTAAAAAACAATAAAAAACAATAAAAAAAATGTAGGTCTTGTAGGTCTCAGGAAATTTTTTTTTATAAAATCTATCCCTTGTCAGATGTATTTTAGATCTGTCCAATCGTAGAAAAATATTCTTAAAAGTGTACGATATGTCAAATCGTAGAAAAATATTCTTTAAAAATTCACGTCCTGTCAAATCGTAGAAAAATATTATTTAAGGCCTTCAAAGGTTCCTTGAAAAACAAAATATTTTTTAAGAAATCCACGCCCTCGAAGGATCCTTGAAAAAAACATTTTTTTAAGAAATTCAGGCCTTCTAAGGCACCTTGAAAAAAAAAAATAAGGAATCCACGTATTCGAATGTTCTTTGAAAAAAAAAATTAAGAAATCCACGCCTTCGAAGCATCCTTGAAAAAATATATTTTTCTAAGAAATCCAGGCCTTCTAAGGCTGCTTAAAAAATTCAAGGAATCCACGTATTCGAATGGTCTTTGAAAAAAATATTTTTTAAGAAATCCACGCCTTCGAAGTATCTTTGAAAAAATATTTTTAAAGAAATCCACACCTTCGAAGGTTCCTTAAAAAAAATATTTTTTAAAAAATCCACGCCTTCGAAGTATCTTTGAAAAACATATTTTTTAAAAAATCCACGCCTTCGAAGTATCTTTGAAAAACATATTTTTTAAGAAATCCACGCCTTCGAAGATTTCTTGAAAAAATATTTTTTTTAAGAAATCCACGCCTTCGAAGGTTTATTGAAAAAAATAGGTTTTAAGAAATCCACGCCTTCCAAGGTTCATTGAACAACATTTTTAAGTAATCCACGCCTTCCAAGGTTCCTTGACAAAAATATGTTAAAACCAGTAAGGAAAGTAGTAAAGTCGGACTGGGCCGACTATATGATACCCTTCACCACTTTGGGTATATTCTACATATGTTTCCTAACAGACGTCGCGTTTTTTGTTATATATCTATATCTGAACCGACTGCAGGGAGGGAAACTTGCCAGATATTAATTTTTATTTTTTCAGTACGTTGTGTCAATCGGCCTAGCTGTGGATCTCTTCACGAAGCTTAGCAACATCATTATAGGCATGATATAAAGGGACTTTGGTGCACCAATTACCTAAAATCGGATGAAAATATATATGGGAGCTATATCTAAAACTGAACCGATTTTTACGAAACTTAGCACACATCATTCTAGACTTAATTCAGTGAGCTATGACAAATTTCGTGCAAATCGAATGATTTTCAGAGACTTCGGTGCACCAATTACCTAAAATCGGATGAAAATATATATGGGAGCTATATCTAAATCTGAACCGATTTCCACGAAACTTTGCACACGTCATTATAGACTTGATTCAGTATGCTATGACAAATTTCGTGCAAATCGAAAGATATATAGGGACTTTGGTGCACCAATTACACATAATCGGACGAAAATATATATGGGAGCTATATCTAAAACTGAACCGATTTTCACGAAACTTTGCACACATCATTATAAACTTGATTCCGTATGCTATGCCAAAATTCGTGCAAATCAAAATATTTCCAGGCACTTTAGTGAATTACTTACATAAAATCGGGCGAAACTATATAAGGGAGCTATATCTAAATCTGAACCGATTTTCACGAAACTTTGCACATATCATTCTAGACTTAATTCAGTACTCTGTGCCACATTTCGTGCAAATCGAAAGATATATAGGGACTTTGGTATACCATTTACTCAAAATCGGGCGAAACTATATATGGGAGCTATATCTAAATCTGAACCGATTTTCACGAAACATCAGTCTAGACTTAATTCAATACGCTATTTTAAATTTCGTGCAAATCGAAAGATATATAGGGACTTTGGTACACCATTTACCTTAAATCGGACGAAAATATATATGGGAGCTATATTTAAATCTGAACCGATTTTCACGAAATTTAACACACATCGCTCTAGTCTTAATTCAGCACCCTGTGCCAAATTTCGATTTTACCGAATTTCAATGGGGTTCGTCCTTGGGCCAAACAAATGAGCTGTACCAAATTTCATCCAATTCGGATCATCAATGCGACCTGCACTTTGTTTACAATTTAACATGGACAGATGGACGGACGGACATGCATAAATCGACTTAGAAAGTGAGTCTATGCCTCGATTATTTTTGCCTGTTACAAACATATGCACAAAGACATAATACCCTGTAACACAGTGTGGTGAGGGGTATAAAAAGAATCGGCGGGTTTCAAGGTTTCTTGAAAATATATTTTAGAAAATCCAAGACTTGTATGACCGACAAACTCTTCTTTAAAAAAATCGTGTACAAAATATTTTATAAAAAATCCACGACTTGTAGAGTCTTCTAAAAATATCTTATAAAAAATCCACGGCCAATCTAAAAAAAAACATTTTATAAAACACCACGCCTTTTAGGGTCTTCTAAAAATCCACGTCTTGTTTTAGTCCTTAAAACATATTTTTGAAAAATCCACGCCTTGTCCTTAGTCCACGTCTTCTTTTAGTTCTTAAAAAATATTTTTTTTTTAAATCTACGCCTTATTGTAGTCCTTAAAATATATATAAGCTTTGTGGACGTTAAAAGAATTCTTTAAAAAATCCAAGTTTAAAAAAAAATTTTTTTTTTCTAAATCCACGCCTTGGTATGTCTCTCAATTTTCATTATCTTTGTTTTTGGGGGAATACCTTTTATTATTTTTGTTAATTCATAGCAATCCACTTAATTTTATTATGACGTTTAATTGTCATTTCTCTATAATCATCTCACTTGACTCGAATGATTGATGGCACTTTAAGCCACAACAAATGCTACCAAAAACGAAATACAACAAATAAAAAATTATATTCAACTATACAGAGAAGTGTCACACACACATTTCATTGACACTGATAAATTTTCGTAATAAATTATCTCTCGAATGGCAGATACAGACAAAAGTGGACTCTTCCAAAATCAACTGACCACCAACAATTCAACGACACCAGCAATTCATTCCTTTACATTTTGCGATAAGCAAACATAAAATACAACTAAAATAAAAAACCAATCAAACACACACACACTTACAACTAAAAATAGGGGGCGTGAGAATTAACATCAATTCGAGAATCGACTGAATAAAAAATATCTAAATAGTAAATATTGGCACAATTTCAAAATAAATACAAAAAACATCCACAATCAATTCAAATAAAATTAAAATAAATAACAACAATTTTTATGGTTGTTGTCATTGTTGTTTTCGGTTTCCTTGTTTCGGCCACTGTGATAAGAGGGTACAGCAGCAGCGCCACTTTTTTTGTTTGTTTTTTACACACACAATTATTTTTTTTGTTTATTTTGATTTGCATATAAACAATGAACAATGCATCGTAAAAATAGAAAAAAAAACGAGAAACGTGAATGAATCAACATTTAATGACATTTTTATCTTTATCTACTCATCCACAAATTTCGATGACATTTTGCGGATCCAATTAATCTTCCGAGCACGTTTTTTTCCATGTAGGCTTGTTGAGTTCAACAAGTGGTTTCAGTTTTTTTTTGAAATGCACATTGAAATAAGGAAAGAAATTAGGCAGATAATATTCTTTAAAAAATCCACGCCTTGATGGGTCCTCTAAAAACTAATCTTTAAAAAATCCACGCCTTGATGGGTCCTCTAAAAACTAATCTTTAAAAAATCCACGCCTTGATGGGTCCTCTAAAAACTAATCTTTAAAAAATCCACGCCTTGATGGGTCCTCTAAAAACTAATCTTTAAAAAATCCACGCCTTGTTTGGTCCTCTAAAAAATATTCTTTAAAAAATCCACGCCTTGATGGGTCCTCTAAAAACTAATCTTTAAAAAATCCACGCCTTGTTTGATCCTCTAAAAAATATTCTTTAAAAAATCCACACCTTGTTTGATCCTCTAAAAAATATTCTTTAAAAAATCCACACCTTGTTTGATCCTCTAAAAAATATTCTTTAAAAAATCCACGCCTTGTTTGATCCTCTAAAAAATATTCTTTAAAAAATCCACGCCTTGTTTGATCCTCTAAAAAATATTCTTTAAAAAATCCACGCCTTGTTTGATCCTCTAAAAAATATTCTTTAAAAAATCCACGCCTTGTTTGGTCCTCTAAAAAATATTCTTTAAAAAATCCACGCCTTGTTTGGTCCTCTAAAAAATATTCTTTAAAAAATCCACGCCTTGTTTGGTCCTCTAAAGAATATTCTTTAAAAAATCCACGCCTTGTTTGGTCCTCTAAAGAATATTCTTTAAAAAATCCACGCCTTGTTTGGTCCTCTAAAGAATATTCTTTAAAAAATCCACGCCTTGTTTGATCCTCTAAAAAATATTCTTTAAAAAATCCACGCCTTGTTTGATCCTCTAAAAAATATTCTTTAAAAAATCCACGCCTTGTTTGGTCCTCTAAAAAATATTCTTTAAAAAATCCACGCCTTGTTTGGTCCTCTAAAAAATATTCTTTAAAAAATCCACGCCTTGTTTGATCCTCTAAAAAATATTCTTTAAAAAATCCACGCCTTGTTTGATCCTCTAAAAAATATTCTTTAAAAAATCCACGCCTTGTTTGATCCTCTAAAAAATATTCTTTAAAAAATCCACGCCTTGTTTGATCCTCTAAAAAATATTCTTTAAAAAATCCACGCCTTCTTTGATCCTCTAAAAAATATTCTTTAAAAAATCCACGCCTTGTTTGATCCTCAAAAAAATATTCTTTAAAAAATCCACGCCTTGATGGGTCCTCTAAAAACTAATCTTTAAAAAATCCACGCCTTGATGGGTCCTCTAAAAACTAATCTTTAAAAA